AAGGAGGAGCTGATACCAAGGGCTCAAGTTGAAAGAAAATGCTTTGAAAATGATGCTGACAACTGTGGTAATTACATAATCTGTTGTCAATTTGAGATTGAAGAGTGAAGGGGTGGAGTTTAGCCTGTCAATCAGGTCGCAGCTTGATGACCTCATTTGGAGGTGCCATGGAGAAAAATAGCTCGCTGGAGGCAGGACTCAGACTCACTCCCTGTGAGACATGCTTGCTGAGAAGACACATGGAGCTATGCTAGAGCCTTGGAGCTGGAGGAGCCATGCGGAGACCCCTGCCAGTGCTGAGATGCCTCTACTGCTACTAGATCCACAAGCCCTTCCACCCACTGGCCTATGATCTTCCTGCATTCGGTGTCATTGCATGTGTTTTGTAAGTCTGAAGAGGAATTTATAAGTTGGTATCGGACATATGGGATAATATTGAATTTATGGACTTGATTTGGACTAGGCTGGGATGTTTTCTCAATATTTAATTGCTCCTGTATATAAAGCTCTTTCTTATAAATATATGAGGGTCTATGAATTTGTTTCTCTTGTCTACCCAGACTAACACAACAACATATATACAAATGTGCTTGATAAAATTGATGCATGGATTATTATAAGAGCTGTAAGAGCCCCCAGTAAAATGATTTACAAAATAAATAAATAAAATACCACCAGTAGTGCATGAGGGTTTCAATCTCTCCAAATATTAAAAACCATAAACAAAAGTCACCCAAATCTCAAAGACAATTTAAAGAGAACATTAGGTTTTAAAAGGAAAGATGACACAAAGATACAGACACATCGTCCAGATGAAGGAAGTCATTGGTCTGAGGTCACAATGGTGCACAAGGATTTATAGTCAGGACGGTAGTCAAACAAGGCCTGGAACAAAGGAAACTGTGACAAATTCGTGATTGGTGGCAGATCAGTGCATCACAGTTACAGGTGGGACTCCAGAAACAGGGCCATGATTGGGACACTATGTTAGATGGTTAGATACATTATGTGATAGAAGGGCTTACAAGATTGGTCCAGGGACTTCTGATCAAGGCAGTCGGGTGAGACTGATAGGGCCTGACTCATGGCTGTGACCCCTTGTCCCATCACCAGTAGGTTGATTTCCATCGAGGACACATACCCAAGCAAGACCCTAAGAGAGATGCTGGAGAGAGGTGGAGGGAATTCACTTTTCACTGCACTCTGACTGAGGACAAGAGTATCTACATCCTTGGTTAAGGATCAGAAGGAATTCAATCGAGACAATCTATGTGGAGACTCTGCAAATGGATTTGGGAGTTTTCACTGTAACCCATATCCTTTGGCAAATGAGGTGCTCTGGCTTTAAGCTGTAACACACAGCTCAGTGGGTTTTGTAACAAGTTCACCATCCACCCATCTTAGCATGGCCACCAACCACCACAAGACATTGTACCTTTTTTTCATTGGGAATTGATGGTGACCTGAACCTTGCCTACTTTGACTGTCATGTTCTTGAATCCCCCTCCTCCCCTCCAGACTAGTATCCCTTTTTCTCTTCCTTGCTGTGTGATATGTAACTCTGTTCCCCACCCATCTACTATTGGAATCTTCCATCTTGCTCATCTTGGTAAGCTGCATTCCATCACAAAGTGTTCTTCAAAGAATAGCCCCAAGGCCCCTCCAATGTGATCCAGGTATGACAGCATGGTCAGTCCACACGTCAGCGTCCTTCAACTAACCCTGCACCCTAGAATACCCGGAAAGGATCACATTATCTGACCCACATTGTCCCAGACCCATTTTCTAAGTCAGAGGTGCAACTCGAGGACATCCGTGAGGCCACGACTGGGCACAGACCTTGGTTTATGAGTAGAAGACATTAAAGGGCAAGCAGGGGTGGGAAGAACCAATTCCGGAAGTCCAATGGGATAAAAGATCCAGTCCCCCCCCCAATTCAGGAAGCCTGAGATACTTTGGTCACAAGATTCCATGCTGCTCCTTGTCAGCGCAGATAATAGACGTTGTTTCTATTTCTCTGGCATGTAGTGTCCACTCTCATGCCACGGACTGTTAGAGCAAACCGAGGACTTGAAGGATGTGAGGCCAACCTTCTCGTTGTGGGTAAGTGGGGAAGGGGATTTGCCAGCCTTATGCAGGCCAAGTTCCAGAAGTTTGGGGACCTTTTTGATCAGGGATTCAAAGGACAAGAAGGCCTTAGACTTCTTGGCCAGCTCTTTGATGAATTTCTTGTTCTTGTTCTTCTTCGTGGGCAATTTCAGTGCCTCGATGTCCAGGTGAGGGAAAGCCACAGGCTCAGCTTCATCACAGTGCTGCTGGTCCCCAAGGCCTCACACAGAGAACTTGGGGTGGGTGTGGTGGTGCCAATACGTTTGTTCTTCTGGGGCTGGGGGTCATCGTTCTTCAAGCCAACCCATAGTTCCACTGTTTCCCCAAATGTCCAACTCTTGTGCTGATTCCCATGCAGGGCTTCCTGCATCACTATAGAAACCTTGCTGTTCATGGTTTCTAGTGCTGCAGTCCCTGGACAGGAGACCTTGGCTACTGAAGACTCTGTAAAGAAGCCATGAGGGATAGCATTCTCTGACCAGGCAATTAGACAAGACGGGAAGGTCAGCAGGGAGTGTGTCCTGTTTGGGGACTTGGGCCTTGTATCAGCTTGCTACTGTAGCTCTGACCCTGCTGCCTAACAAACAGTCACACCTTCTTAGTGGTATCAGAGAAGAAGCTCACACTTCTGTAGGTTAGCATGGGACTGGCGGACGTAGAGTAGTCTCAGCTGAGTCTTGTGCCAGCTCTGGGTTTTGTTCAGGTATGCTATGGTTTAATCGTGAACCACCCTAAAACATGTGGTGAAATTCTCACTGCCCCCCGCCCCCCCCCGAACCTGTAATATGCCCCTGACTGGATTAGGGGTCTTCTTTTATTGCATTAATAAGGCCCGCAGCAGAAAGGGTCTTAACCCTACCTCATCGAGGCTAAGGAACACCGAGAATGCCAAGGAATGCCAAAGAGTGCCGGCCAAACCAAGCGCTAACTCCCTGCTGTGAGTTGATTCTGACTCACAGGGGTCCTAGAGGGCAAGGTAGAATTGCCCCTGTGGGCTTCTGAGACTGCCACTCTTGACGGAATTAGAAAGCTCACCTGCCCCTCCCCCACCCCCACCCCCAAACACACACCAAGAAGCGGCTGGTAGTTTTGAACTTAGGGTTTTACAGTGAGCAGCCCAATGCGTAACCAACCACGACATTACCAGGACTCCTAGGAGAGAGGCTCGCATGTAGACTTTTAGCCTCCCCAGCACACCGAGAAAATACACTTCCGACCTTGCAGGTCGTTCCGCCTGAGGTATTTGTTTCAATGGCTTTAGGTTGCTAAGACCAAGTCTCTTGCACGTGTGCCTCATCCCCTTTGGACCAGTGCTGCAGATGGCGTGTGCCCTTTGCACGGCAGTGGCAGAAATGTACAAGAGGGCAATGGGTTTCTCAAGACTTGGCTTATGTTGGTGTGTCTACTCACATCCCAGGGGCCAAAAGAAGTCACCTGGCTAAACCCCAATCAAGTGCTGGAGCAATACACCTGGCTTACCAGGAAGCCAAGGCTAGGGAGTGGGTGTACACAGTCACGGGCCAAGAGCTGGGGAATTTCGGGGCCAGCAAAACCTGTCACTGCTGTTGGGGGAGGAAGCAATGGGGTGGGTGAACACCCTTGTTAGGACAGAAGAGGAAACGACGGAAGCTTAGCAGCATGGGGGTGGGGCTTCAAAAAGTTTGTGGGAAAATGCTGCTGTTCCATTCCATGTTTTCACAAACGTTTGGACAGCCCCTTCATAGAGGCAGGGCTACAAAGAAGGACAAAGCAACTGAGGCTTAATGCTGCTGGGGCTGGAGGATTTCAGAGCAGAGCAGGTAGGTCACCTGCAGTCTAGGGTCTTGGATCTACCCATCTGAAGGCCTCGGTTCCTTTTGGATGCACACATGGGTTTGCCTACGAGGTCCAGGGCTCTACTCTGCTGGGCAGAGTGGGAAGGCAGGCTCCGCATTTCGTGTTTCGTGATAAAGCGGTGCTCCATGGACTACTGAGATGTGTTATCCTTGGGGGCAATTACCACCAGCCTTGGAAGTGTCTCGGGAGAAAGATGAGGCTTTCTATTCTTGTCAAGAGTTATTTGTCTCAGAAACTCGCAGGGTCTGATAGGGTCACTGTAAACAGACATCGACTCAATGACGGTGTGTGAATTATAAGTGTCCTGCACTTAGTAGGCCTTCCAGGGTGATGATAAGCCTGCTGTGCTGGAATCTTTCCATTTCTGCCACATGACCTGGGGGTGGGGTGGGGGGGTGGGGGTGGCGGCGGTGGTGTGTGTGCTTGTGTCATTGCTCAGGAGAGTTGGGGAGCCAAGAACAATTAGAGATACTGGCCAGGCTGAGCAGCGGCCTGTTTGTCTAGGGTCCTTGTGCTTTCCACAGTTAGAAAGAGTTATTTCTTGAGGGCATCTTCTTAGCGTGTTCAGGAGGCTATGGGGTTACAGGAGGCTCCCCAAAGGGGTGGAGGATAAAATGCCCGAGTCTGGGTGTCCTGTCATAAGCCCCACCCCCACTCCCGAGGCCGGATTGGGCTCCTTCCCAGTGGTCATGGTGGAACTGTGTGCAGAAAGCTCCCTCCTCCGCGCTCAGACTGTTGGAATGGCCCAGAAAGGGAGGGAGAGAGGGCCCAGTGAGACCCACGCCATCACCCCTGCGATTTCCACTTTGCCTGCTAGGAGGCGCCAGAGTGAGCCCAGAGTCGCCACTTGTGGGCTCAGATCAAGTCCTGAGCTTTTCTGGGGACCTTCCCCGTCAAGATGCCTTTCCTGCCCTGACTGTTGCGCAAGGCCTGCAGCTGCTTCCCTGAGTGGCCTCTGAACTGGGCAGCGGGGCTGAGGCCTGGGAAGAAGAGGAAGCGGATTCTGCAGCTGGGTCCTCCTCTCTTGGGGTAGCAGAGCCCCCGGGGAGCACCAGCACCAAGAGCTCCCGGTCTTCCTTGCTGTTCTCAGCGACCAGTTCTTCAGCCTCACTGCCACTGCCCAGTGTGCAGCAGGTACTCCCCGCCCTGGGCCTGAAGGGAGAATCAGGGAGCGGGGAGCAGGGCTGGGCTGAGACTTGCTGGGGTGTGTCTGGGTGTGAGGGCTGGATGCCAAACCAACCCAATCCTGAGCTACTCATCATAGCTCCCAATTCCCCCCGACCCACATTCCAGCGCCAAGTGTAACCATCACTCCAACCCAGTCTCACCTCCAACCTCAGTCCTCACCTCGCCTCACTTGCCTGTCCATGTTAGCATTTAGGGATCATCATCCATATTCAACTCCAACCCAAGCCCGGTCCTAAGCCCAATCGCAGCTTGCACCCAGCCCCATCACCCTGTCCCCAACCGGCCTCAGTCATAGCCCATTCACCACCAGCATCCAACTCCAACCCACACCCGGACCCCAAGCCCCTTGGCCGTTATCTCAGGGTCCACTCAATACCAACATCTATCCCATCCCAAATCCCAACCTAAACTTCACCCTCACCCCTGGCCCAGCCACAGCCTTCTCCTCCCGCTGGCTCCAGACACACCCCATTCATTCATCTGCATGCAGGAACCTTGAGCAGACCGGCAGCCAGCACACAGCCCGTGAAGCCAGGTTAAGAAGTGCAGTGGAGGAGAGGGGTTCCAGAGTTAAATGCTGGGCTTGCACCGGGGCTTTCCATTATGTTGAAGATCTCACATTCCTGCAAGTGCCCATTAGCACCCTCAAATTTCCCGTCACTGGGGTGGAGTACTTGTCACCCATTTCCCTCCTTGCTTGGCCTGAAAGGGAAGTTGGAGAGGAGCCCTGGGTCCGGAAACAGAAACTGAATTCTGAACCCAGACAGAGCTGCCCACAGTGAAGCACCCTTTGCCCTCTTTCCCCGAGGCCAGACGATAGCCTCTTCTGGACTTTGGCCTTGATGTCCTAAGACTCTTGGTCTCGTGTCATCTTCTGTTGTTCTGACACAGGCAGTAAGCATAGGTTGATGAGACCCCAACTCAACCCTGGGGCAGCCCAGGCTAGTTCTACTCACCCACGCCATCGAGTGGATTCCAACTCATAGTGACCCTAGTAGACAGAGTGAAACTGCTCCCTATGGGTTGCTGAAACTGTATATCTTTAAGGAAGCAATCAGCTTCATCATTCTCCTGAGGGCTTGAACCACTGACTTTCTGGTTAGCAGTTCAGCCCTGATCTCACAGTGCTACCAGGGATCCTTATACCAATTCTAGGAGTGGGCCTTTTGGACCTTGTTTTCCAAGCACCCAAGACTTGGAGAATCAGAAGTGAGCTTCAGGAACTTCCAGTCTGGAGAATGATGCTGCCCCAGGGGTCACTGTCCATAGGAGGGGTTGTTTGAGGGCGCCCACTGCCATACTAATACATCCACTCTCTTCCCAGCACCCTATTACCATCAGGGGGTGTAAGCACTCCCTGGGTCACCGAGGTCAGACCCAAGCCCTAGGACACTGACCCTGCAACACGACACTTTCAAACTGGGACAAAGGTCTCCTATCTGGAGCCTTCCGTGCCCCTCCTGCTTCCAGGCTAGTTTTCTGGGTCACGGTCTTTGGAGTGGGCAGGGTGAGCCAGAAAACTGGGCTCCAGGGGGCTGGTCCCTTTGGCGTTGGGGTGGGCTAAGTAAAGGTGACAACCACGTGATATGTTTGCAGGTGACTTTAGAAAGCTTTCCCTCCACATTCCAAAAGTTCCTGCTCCATTTCAGTGTCACTCTGCCCCCAATCCCACTCTTCCTCCTGCAGACTCAGCAGTGCCCTGGGGCAGCAGAAGGTCTGGGGACAGTGCTGACTTATCTAGCATATGCCGCTCGCTCGTTACAGAGGGGCTAACCTCGACAACACCCGCACAGCTTGGGGCCTCAGGGGCCAGGCCTGCCCCCAAATGTGCCCCACAGGCTGCCTTTCCTCTTGGTGAGGGACAGCACTGCCCTGGGAGATCTCAGCAGCCAAGCGCCAGGTATGGATCAAAGCCTTCAGGGAGAGGAGCAGGTCTAGGATGGCCAGGGAACCAGGAATGTCCCCCTTGGCCTCTTCAGAGGACCTGGTTGCCTGCTGGAGCAGCCCATGGGTGGCTGCATCCCCTGAGGACCAGGGCTCCCCCCAAGGGCACCCTGCCCCTGTCTGTACCGTCTAAGTGCCACTTGGCCATCATGATGGGCTGTTCCAGCCCTGGGACTGCCCAGGTGTACCCCTTGGTAACCCTTAGAACAGCTGGGCCCTACTCATGGGGCCGGTGGGCTGGGGGCTGGGACCGGAGCTGTCATGTGTTTCCTGCCCCACTTCCATCCTCCCAGGCTCTCCTCTCCCCCTGCTGACACAGCACTGAGGACCAAGGAGAATCGCAGAGTCAGCAAACTGTGTTTTGGCACCTCTCCCCTTCTGTCCCATGCCTGTGACAATCCTTGAGGTCTTCCCTCCCCCGCCAGGGATGCTCCATAGCAGGGCAGTTGCCTTCTCTGTGTGAAGGCACGCTGCCGCCAAGCTGACTCCGACTCCCAGGGGCCCTGGAGGGCAAGGTAGAACTGTCCCTGAGTTTCCGAGGCTGCCCCTCGTCTCAGGGGTCCAAAGTCTCGTCTCTCTCCCGCAGGGTGTACGGCGGGCCTTGAGCGCCTGTCTGTGCGGCGTGTGCTGGTGTGCAGGGCCCCCATGTTGCCCATCAAGCCTCAGCTAGGCCTTGCCATCTCCCCGTCCCGACTCTGAATTCCCAGGGACTGTGCCCCTCTTCTGCCTGGAGGGTCTGAGGGTCTGAGGGCACTTCCCTGTGGCAGGGCACGAGTCCTTAGCTGCAGGCTCTGAGACAGGGGCTCCACAGGCTGTTTGGCACAAGCATGCGGCTGGGGGGGAGGGGGCGGGGGCGGGACTGCAGGGATGTTGAAAAGGACATCTTTGTCTGGAGGCCACCTCATGCTGCACCTGGACTGAGGTTTCTCCGGAAGGAGGGGCGCCCACTGGAGACAAGACTGGCCCTGGGCCGGGGTGGAGAAGCAGCAATGAGGACTTTAGATTAGGAGCCATGCCCCGTGGGCAATGGGAGCCACAGAGGGTTTGGGAGGCTGGTGGGGGGTGGGGAGGGTAAGGGGATGCAGGGAGGCACGTTGACAGTAAGAACATCCCCACCCCCTTCGAACAGGTCACTGTGCCTGTCTGGGTTCCCAGTTCCTGCTGGTTTGGTGGGGGCTGGGGTGGGGTGGGGTGGGGGGACAGCTGTGAATCTGTCCTAAGAAGCCTCTTCTGAAAGCAGAAGTTGGGCCACCCACTGTGGGGGTGGGGCCTAGTGAACACCGGGGGCTTTTTGGGACGCGCCACCAAGTGAGACATTCCTGAGCACACCCCAAGCTGGGCACACTCTAGCTGGCTCTCAGGGTGACCATCACAGCATCTGAGGACAAGGGGCTGGACCTCAGAGGGCTCCGCAGAATCAGTTCTAAGAGTCCCTGCCCACCTCCACCCCTCACCCCGCGTGGGCACCATCCTCCTAGGTACTGGACCAGCCCGAGGACCGGTGATGGGCTTCCCACTCCAATTCCTTCTGCTGGCCGTGCTCTTCCCCTCAGGTAAGTGGGGCCACCTGGCGCCGGTCAGTCTCGGGGACTGGGCCGCAGCGAGTCCTACCCCAGCAGCGCCTGCACACTGCACTAAGCCCAAGTCACAGGCTTGAGCGTGGAGTCCAGGGAGGACCGAGGAGGTCGTGGGTGGGAGCTGTCTGGCCGAGCTTCTGAGCGAGGAGCCCTTGGGCCTGGATTGTCCCTGGAGCACCCAGGGTAGCGACCTTGGGGCACCTTTCTCGAAGGCAGATCACAGAGTCTGCAGGGACCCCACTCCTGTACCAGCTCCTCCCACCCCACTCTGTCCCTTCCCAGGCCTGGCCTCGTGGGGTGTCTCCAGCCCCGAGAAGGTGCAGGGCGTGAAAGGGTCCTGCTTGATCATCCCGTGCATCTTCACCTACCCGGCTGACGTGGAGACGTCCAACGGCATCACGGCTCTCTGGTATTATGACTATGCCGGCAAGCGGCAGATCGTGAGCCACTCGGAGGACCCCAAGCTGGTGGCAGCGCAGTTCCAAGGCCGAGCGCAGCTGTTAGGGAAGCCGGAGAGCAAGACGTGCAACCTGATGCTGAAGGACCTGCGGCTCGAGGATTCGGGCTCCTACAACTTCCGCTTTGAGATCAGCGAGAGCAACCGCTGGTCGGACATACAAGGCACCAGGGTCACGGTGACAGGTGAGGGCCGGGGGGCCTGGCTCTCACCGGCAGGCGGTTCCTAGAGCACCCTCAGACTGTGACTCGGCCCAGCCCTGGCCCTAAACGGAAAGCCAGCCCCAGTCTCACCTTCAGTTCCAGCCCCTGCCCCATCCTGGCCCCAGAGTCGGCTCCAGTCCCATCCCTGGCCTAAGGCCAGCCCCTGACCCGTCCTTGTCCCAGGGCCAGCCCCAGCAGTGTCCCCCAAGGGAGGTTGTGGGGTGGTCAGCAGGCTCCGCTCATCCTTAAGCCCTCCTCTGCCCACGCCCCACCCCTCAGCCTGGGCTTCCGGGGCTGAGAGTCTCAGGGTGTGGAGAAGGAGGCGGCCTGAGCCCTCTTGTCTCGGTCTTCAGAGCAGCCCCTCGTGCCCACCATTGCCTCGCCGGCCGAGCTGCGAGAAAACACGGAGGTGGATTTCAACTGCTCCACCCCCTACGTGTGCCTGAAGGAGACCGTCACCCTGGAGTGGAATGGCCAGGACCTGTCTCGCTCTGTCACCTCCAGCTTCCAACGCCTGGAGCCCACTGGCATCAGCCACCTGGGTATCCTCCACACGGTCTTGTCCTGGCATGACCATGGCCGGACACTGTACTGCCAGCTCACCATGGCCGAGGGCAAGGCGCAGGGCGAGCTTCACCTCCAAGTGCAGTGTGAGTGTGCTGGGAGACACCCTTGTTGCCGCTCTTCCCTGTTATCCTCCAGCCTGAGGAAGCAGCCCCCCACCCCCCACCGCCACCCCTCACTAAGAGCGGTTCTCAACCTTCCTAATGCCGTGACCCTTTCAGACAGTTCCTCATGTGGTGGTGATCCACTCCAACCATAACATTATTTTCGTTGCTACTTCATCACTCATTTTGCTACTGTTATGAATCGGGCGACCCGGTGAAAGGGTTGTTCGACCCCCAAAGGGGTCGCAACCCACAGGTTGAGAACTGCTGCACTGAGGCAAAGCAGGGCTCACACAGGCTTCCAGGGCAGGGGTGGGTGGAGGCACAGTCTGCTGAGCTACTCACAGTCTCCTTCAAGGGCTCCCTCCTCTCTCCTGCTGGCTTGGAAGGGGGCACATGTCTCATTCTTGTCCTTGAGGAGGCAGATGACACAGAGGGCCCCAGGAATAGGCGTTTCCTAGTCAGATTTTGTGGGGGGCGGGGGTGGCAGTGTGGGCCCTGAGAGGTAGCCCAGCTCGTGAGGAGGGTGGGAAGGTAGGGCTAACCCCACTTCTGCCTTGGACTGCTCACTCTCGCGGAGACCAGGTGTCACCTGGATGGGGCACAGAGTCAGCGGAGAGGAAAGCCCAAGCCCACGCTTGGCTATGCACCTGCCCACCCCAGTGACACGGCGCTGCAGCTGTTCTAGAAGAACTGCTACTCATGGGGTTCCTATCAGGCCATCTGGCTCCACCACTTAGTAGTCAGCAAACTTCGGCAATTCCTTTGTCCCTTATTTTCTCATCTACATTGTGTGTGTGTGTGTGTGTGTGTGTGTGCGTACAAACCAGCTGCCATCAAGTCAGTTCTGACTGTTTGGACTGTTGGACTGTTGGACTGACTGTTGGACTGCAACTGCGCTCCATAGGGTTTCATAGATTGTTTTTTAGAAACAGTCACCCGGCCTTGCTTCTGATGTACCTCTCAAACAAACAAACAAACAAACAAACAAACAAACTAAGCTCACTGCCGTTGAGTTGATCATTTGACTCACAGCAAGCCTAAGGGACAGGGGGAGAGCTGCCCCCATGGGTTCCAAGACTGCAACGCCTTTGGAGGGTAGAAAGCCCCGTCTTTCTCCCAACGAATGGCTGGTGGCTTCAAACTGCTGGCCTCATGGTTAGCAGCCCGGGGTGTAACCCACTCCTTTCAAGGGGTCCTGGGTGTTCTCAGGCCTCCTGCCTAGCAGCTGAGCCCGTTCACTGCATATACCACTCAGGGCCTGAAACTGTGGAGGGAACAGGAAGTAGGCCCTGGCTCAGAATTGTTACCAACATTCAATGGGCACTCCCGATAAGGCAGTGAGAACAGTGCCCAGCACACACTGAGCCCTTGAAAAAATGGGCTTTTACTATGATCACATTCCTATTGATTAAACGCTCGAAAAGGTTAGCTTTTATATAGTATTTACATAGAAAAAGGATTTGGAACCAGACTTAAAGAAAGGAAGTCTTTTCAACTGTTGGTACAGCCCTTCCACACTGGCTACTGATGGGCTGCTCCCAGTGGGCATTTGGTCTCTACCTGCAGGGAACCATTAGCAGGGTTGCTGGGTGGCTGGCGTCCAACTCAGGGAGACTCCGGGAGTGTCGGAGTAGAACTGGACTCTGTTAGATTTTCCGTGGCTGGTTTGTTGGAAACAAGTCATCAGGCCTCTCTTTGGAGGCACCTCTGGGTCATCTGGAGCCTCCCATCTTTGGGTTAGTAGCTGAGCCAGTTAACTATTTGTCCCAATTCAGGGTCTCCTGTCCACGGGCCCTACGGGCAGCTAGAACGCAGGCGCCTGGGCAGTGTCGTGCAGGCAGTTAGGGTGGACGTAGACCAAGCCTAAAACTTGGCTCGACTAGAAGGGAGCAGGATGGGTCACAGGGGCTGAGGGTAAACAGTCCCCTGGCCAGAGGACTAATCGGCCTGCTGTTCTGGGTGGGTGGGTGACCTTAGGATGGAGTTTGGAGATGTGTGCCACCCTGCCTTTCACATGTCCCCAACCCAATGCCCCTGTCCGGCCTTGCAGATGCCCCTCGGGGCGTGGAGGTCCTCCTCAACCCCTCAGGGAAGAACATCCTCCCAGGTGACCTGGTCACACTCACCTGCCAGGTCAATAGCAGCTACCCGGAAGTCAGAACTGTGCAGTGGGTCAAGGACGGAACACCCCTCCAAGCCATGGGGCGGGTGCTGCAGTTGCCCCGGGCAACCTGGGCCGATGCCGGCATCTACACCTGCCAAGTTGAGAATGCCGTGGGTTCTGCCGTCTCCACTCCTGTCAGCCTTCATGTCTTCAGTGAGTCCTGGGTGAGACTGGGGCTTGGCCAGGCAGCAGGGAGGGGTCCAACCCGCTGGGGCTGAGAGGAGCCAGGCCAGGGCAGAGTCAGAGACTGGCAGGACTCAGGCCTCCTCCCGTGTGAGACCCTGGGCAGTACCTCCTTGGGAGGGTGGGATGTTGGGAGGACGCCGGGTAATAGGACATAGGTCCACTGTGAGCCACAGGTGTGGTGTGGATGGTGCAGATTCAGGTTGATGGGCTGTGACTCTCGGGGCTCTGAGGGGGTGGAGCTGGAAGTCCCCCTAGGCACCCCCCCACCCCCAGCCCAGCGTGTCCTCTGCTGCCCCTGCAGTGGCTGAGGTCGAGGTGAGCCCGGTGGGCCCCGTCCTAGAGAACCAGACAGTGACGCTGACCTGCAACACGCCCAGTGGGGCGCGCAGCGAGATCCGCTACAGCTGGTACAAGAACCAGATCCTGTTGGAGGGCGTCCACACGCCCACCCTCCAGCTGCACCCCACCTCCAGAGCGGACACTGGCTTCTACTTCTGTGAGGTGCAGAACACACAGGGTACTGAGCGCTCAGGGCCCGTCAGCCTGGTGGTCACCCGTAAGTGGCAGGGGCGGGGTGGGCGTGGGTACCAGCAGGACCAGAGCTCAGTGAGGGCAAGGCTGGGCTAGAAGGGCCAGAGGCTGCCGCAGGGCCAACATCCTGGGTGTGGGAGCGGCGGCCAACTCCCTTCACCTGGACTCCAGTTCCTGTCCAGTTGCCAGTTTCATCCTCCTCCTCCTTCTTCTTTTTAAATCTTAAATTCCGAAATGATTTCAGACTTTAAGAGAATTGCAAGAATAGTCCAACAAATGATTCTTTTTATCCACATTCTCATTTGTTAACATTTTGCCATATTTGCTTTTTCTTTTCCTGCTTTCTAATCACACACACGTACATACAAACATATTTGCTCATCTGTTTGTGCATGTGGCCAGGTGTGTTGGTTGGTATGAAGTCAGTGTGGGTTCCTGGTGATCCCATGCATAACAGAAGCAAACACTGCCTATCCCTGCCCCGTCTTTCTGACCGTGGTCTGAGTCCACTGCTGCGGATACCGTGTAGTGAGTGCCTTCTCACCCAGGGGCTGGCCTCCCAGCACTAGGCCAGATAAGGATCCGTCTGAGCCGTCGGGCTTTCATGGTCTCATTTGGAAAGAGATCACCAGGCTTTTCTTCCCCATCTGGACGCTGCTGAAACCTGTTCGCCACAGGTGACCTGCTGCCATTTGAAAAACCAGTTGTGTAGCACCATGCAAGCCACCACAGTAGGGCAGACCGAAAAATGGATCTGAGAACTGAAATATAAGGGGGATTAAAAAATGTCATGGAAAAGTGGAATTTCCCCCCAAATTCCCAAGAGTTCTAAAATTCCCATTATTTGTTAATTCAATCTTTCTATACATTTTTAAGCCCCCCATATAAGGATGTATAATATTAGTGTGTCTCTTTTTTAAGATCTGTCTACACTTTTACTTTCCTGAGCCATTTGAGAAGGTGTGGCAGATCTGAACCCCCTCTACCCACAAGTTCCTCATTCTCTTAGAGAACCACCATCAGGAAATTCGATGTCGATACGAGGCTGTTGTCTAAAATTTCCCCGGAGTATCTTTTACAGCAACTCTTCTTCTTTCTGGCCAGGATGTCATCCAGATCACACACTCTGTGGTCCATGGCCACCTTCCTTTGTTCTCCTTGTGTCTGGGACAATCCCCGGTCTTTTCTCGTCTGTCTTGGCATTGGCATTGGCAGTGTAAGGGGCGGTTCTTCAATTGAACAGTGTACTGACTGTGTCCACCTCAGGGTGTCCTTTCAGGAGAGGCTGGAGGCCGGTTTGTCCCAAGGTTGGTGACATTAAGATGCTGAAGGCCAGGCCTCTCTGCCACCTTCTAAGCTGGATGCTGCTGCACCTACTTGAGAGTTCTCCCCGGAGCCACGGGCTGGTCCTCAGCAGGCACTCAGGAGCTGGGCAGGGTGGGACAAAGGGGCGCAGGGGTCATAGGGGGATTCGGGGAGTCAGTCCTCTGTGTCAGAGTGACAGGCCCAATGCTCATCTCCACACAGACCCACCCCTTACGCCAGACCTGACGACGTTCCTCGACACTCAGGTGGGGCTCGTGGGCATCCTCCACTGCTCGGTGGTCAGTGAGCCCCAGGCCACACTGCAGCTGTCCCGAGGGAGTCTCATCTTGGCTTCCACCACCGGGAAGAGTGACCACAGGACCCGGTTCATCGTCTCTTCGGCTCCCAACTCTCTGCGCCTGGAGATCCGGGACCTGGAGCCAGCTGACAGTGGGACGTACACATGCTTGGCCACTAACTCACTGGGCAATGCCTCCTCCACCCTGGACTTCCACGCCAATGGTAAGAGGACCCAGAGGGCTGGCCGAGGGACCTGCAGTGCTGCTTCCTGCTAGGAGTCCAGAGGGCTCCAGGGAAGGACTGAACCCGTTTCAGAGTGGGGGTGGGGGTGGGGGGTGGGTAAACAGCACCTGGAAGGCTTGGGCTGTCCAGTCATCCCAACATCAGAGGTTCCTGGAGGCCAAGGCAAAAAGGGAAGCAAGACAGGTGGCGGCATTCCTGTCGAACTCTCGGAACTTGGAGATTCCCTCGTGTACATCTGTGAACTTTATTACTTATTAAACTTTGGGGGCAGGCTCTGTGCCAGGTCAGACGCGGGAGGCAAAAGGGAGAATTGGGGTCTTCTAAGTCTTGGCACGGGGGTTGCCCTTCCTTTATCCCAAGGCCATGGTGGGCATAATTCATCAAGCAAGGCAAGTAAAAAATATGTTTTTTAAGTTTTGGTTTTATAGATCTACATACACACATATATTTCATAAATTTGGCATTTAAGCCATTTGAAAAACATTTTGCTGTGACAGGTGAAGGTTGACAGAGCACATCATAGTTCCACATTCAACAACTCACACACACGCTGATCCCACATAGAAGACACTGCAGTCCCTTCTGTGTGCCATCGCTTAGCCCACTTCCTCCTGGAGTTCCTTGTTTCTATCCCTACTTCTTTGGGTAAATGCTGCCCTTTTGACTTACCGCCATCGAGTCCATCCCCCCCTGAGGGAGCCACAGGACGGGCTCTGAGATGTCGGTCTTTGCAGGAGCAGAAAGCCTCAGTCTTCGCCAGCAGGGCAGCTGGTGGGTTTGAAAGGCTGACGTTGCTGTTAGCTGCCAATGTGTAACCCAGACACGAAGGACAAAGACCCCAGTCAGGAGGGGTGGGGGGTGGGGGTGGGAGTGGGTCAGGGGGGGTCTCACCAACGACCAGTAAGCTTTATCTGTTTACTTATTTTAATTGTTTCACATTGCTCTGACACCCTATCTCTGCTCAACTAACTCACTGCCATCAGGTGGATTCTAACTCCTAGCAACCCCATAGCCTAGAGGAGAGCTGCCCTTGTGGGTTTCTGAGACCGTCACTCTTTCCCGGAATATAAAGACTCGTATTTTCTCCCACAGAGTGGCTGGGGGTTGCGAACTGCTGACCACCCAGTGTCACCCCCAGGAGTGCTATTGTATCTCCAGGAGCTTCCTAAGTGCTGCTTTTCAGAGCTGTTGATGGTGGGAACCGGGCACCATCTAGTTCTTCTGACCTCAGGGTTATGGAGGCTCATGTCTGCATGGTCCATCAGGCCACTGGACTTATTGACTTAGATTATTTTAAGGGTATCCATCAGTCAGTAGCATTTATTTCATTCACAACCATTCCCCCTCTGTGTTTCCACCGGTTTTCCATGGCTCCAAATGGAAATTCTGTGTGCAATAAACACCTTCATGTTAGCCTCTACCCTCACCCCTCCGTTAACGTCTCCACTACTTTTTGTCTCTGCGCATTTGCCTAGTCTAGATGTTTCAGGTGAGCGAACTCATAGAACACACGGCCTTTTGTGTCTGGTTTCTTTCACTCAGCATCATGAGCTTTCCAGCTTTATTCTTATTGACGCAGCACTTCATCTCTCAGGATGGCTGGAAAATATTCCATTTGTATAGGTGTCCCGCCCTTTGTTCGTCCAGGGATCTGTTGATGGACACTTGGGCTGTCTCTACCTTCTGTGAATAATTCTGCGGTGGACACGCATGCACACGTATTGGCTTGAGTTCCCACTTTCCATTCTTTTGGGTGAACCCTTAGGAGTAGACTTGCTGGACTGTGTGGTAGTTCTTAAGGTGACACCGAAGGTTAGGTGTTGAGTTGCTCACCATGAGGACATTGGTTCAAACCCATCAGCCGCTCAGAACGATGAAGCCGTCTGCTCCTGTTGAGGTTTCAGTCTCAGAAAAGCCTGGACTTGATTGGGGTGGGGTGTGTGTGTTTGGTTTTATTGTTCTCTGTTTAACTCTTTGAGGAACCACCAAGCTGTTTTCCATAGCAGCTGCCTTGTTTTAACCATCCCACCACCCAAGACGCAGGAGTCACGGTGGAGAGGTGGGTTATGCCTTGGGCTGCTCACCTCAAGGTCAGCAGTTCAAGACCACCAGCTGCTCCAAGAGAGAACAACAAGGCTTTCTACTTCCATCCAGAGTTACCGTCTCGGAAACCCACAGGGGCAGTTCTATTCTGTCCTATATATTCGCTCTGGGTCAGAAAGGGCTTGATGGCAGTGAGAGAGAGAGAGAGAGACCACTAAAGATAAAATGTCTGATTTCTCCATGTTCTAAAGGCAGGCTTTTGATGTAAGTGTGGGCACAGGCTGCTACCAATAGATCTGGGGCCAAACCTTCCTGATCCACCCGGGAGATGCAGAGCTGACAGTGGGGAGAGGAGACGGGCCGGAGGTGGGTGGGGGGGTTGGTGGCTGCAGCAGGTCCAAGGCTCTGCGGATATGCAGGGGAGCTGACCTTCTCTCCTCCCCTCACCCACCAGCTGCCCGCCTCTTCATCAGTCCAGCAGCAGAGGTGGTGGAAGGGCAGGCGGTGACGCTGACCTGCAGGAGTGGCCTGAGACCCACGCCTGACACCCGCTTCTTCTGGTACCGGAATGGAGCACTGCTCCTGCAGGGGCCCAGCAGCAGCCTCTTATTCCCCTCGGCCTCCAGCACGGACCATGCGGGCTCTTACCACTGCCGGGCTCAGGACGCCCACAGCACCAGCGGCTCGTCCTCCACCGCGGTCCTCACCGTGCTCTGTGAGCGGCCCTCCTGCTGGTCCTCCTGACCCTGCCCTGCCCTGGGGACAAGACCAAGAGGGTGGTCACAGGCCTGAGCACCGGGACCTCTCCACTCAGGGCTGAAATTTGGGCAACAGCTTGGATGGAGCTGGCTTCCTCTACCTGCCTACAGCTCCTCTCCCAATCCCTGCCCCACAAGGGGCACCATATCCACACTTTACTCTCTGGGGATGAAAACTTCTATATGTGTGCACAGGCCCCATTGGCTGTGGCCTCTGTGCTCCCACAGACACGGTGACAGAACTCTTGACCCAGGGATAAGCCGGGCCCTCTGTGCATCCTGTTACCCCCTTGACAGGGTGCTCCATGTGAGCCCGAGGGGCTGACTCATGTTGGGGTGCACTTCCCCATCATGTATGGACTGACATCAGGGATTGCCAGGGAAATGCAGTCGTTTCTCCAGGGGCTTCCTGGTGTCAGAGTGGCATCGTGTAGGAGCCCTGGCTTACTGCACGGCTCCCTTTGAAACCCCCCCATCTCCATAAGCCTGTGCAAAGAGGGCGGCGTGGTTGGCCTCCTCTGAGGTAGGAGAAGCCAGCGTGGAGATCAGAGCTGGGAGGCAGGAAAGGCCCAGGAGGCAGGCGGCCTTGTGCAGGGTGCAGTGCAGGACAAGAGCGGAGAGCGAGACCCATCCAGGAATTGCTAGGTGCACGCCTGGCTCAGGAGCAGATGGGACTTCTGCTCGATGGCTGCTGGCCCATAGGGCACCGTGGTCCCTGCAGGAAATGGTGCGCCTTCCTCTGAGAGGGCTCCGTCTCTCGCAGAGTTGAGCCTGGGGAGCACGGACCGAGTCCGCCGGCCTTTGGCTGATCCTTGGACAGTGCACAGCTGTCTAGCCAGGCTGGACAGAGTGAGGGGGCCAGAGCTCCCGAGAGGTGTGGGCCGAGCACGCATGCGCTTACTCCCTACAGATGCCCCACGGCAGCCCGTGCTCACTGCCCGACTGGACCCTGACGCCACTGGCGCTGGGGCCGGACGTCGGGGGCTCCTCTCATGCCGCGTGGACAGCGACCCTCCGGCCCAGCTTCGGCTGCTCCACGGGGACCACTTTGTGGTCTCTTCCCTGCCGTCGTGTGGGGGCTGCTCCCCGCGCATCAAGGTGGCTAGAGCCCCCAATTCGCTGCGCGTGGAGATCGACGAGCCCACGCTGGAGGATGAGGGCGAGTACCAATGCGAGGCCAGCAACGCCCTGGGCAATGCCTCGACCTTGGCCACCCTCAATGCCCACGGTGAGCCCCCAGGGCATGGGCACCACCGTGTCCACTGCCCCGGGGCTGGCGC